GCGATGACTAAAGCTTGCTGTTATCTAAAGTCGCAATTTAAGGCGGTTTGAGCACATCACAATTACGCCCCACGATTTGAGAAAGTTGGTGATAAGCAGTTATGAAGAAGACGTAGTGATAGGAGTTACACATTGTAGTTATTGGCCAGTTGGCCATTATGAAAGAAATTGGTAGTTACAAACAGTTTCTAAACGATTAAAAACTGACCAAATCGTATAAAAGAAAGAAAAAGACAACGAAGATAGCCCCGACAAAATTCACTCTCAAACAGAGAATATGTAATTTACTTTTTTTTTAGATTAACTTTAATTATTTCAATTCCCTTGTACTTGTGTGCGTGCGCCCCTTGAAGGTATCTTGTTCGCGTTCAAACTGTAATCTTCATATTCAATAAACACCAATTTTTGGAACTTTGTTCCAAGATGTTTGTCCCTTACACAATCGTCTGATCCCTTTTTAATTGTTAGCGAGTAAACGCGTGAAACAAAATGCAAATTCGATAGTGTATCATATGCTTTCTGGTTCTATATGAATTACATCTAAAATGTTCAAATGCTTACTAAATGGAAGAACTATTAATTGTCCCTAGTTGATTCAAGTTGCTTATGGTTGAAAAAATAAAGAGCATATTGCAATTTTCGATTTTCCATCTTTGGGTTTCTGAAAGATTAATTGGCAATGCATGCAAAGTATGTCTATTAGATTCACTGAAAATTATTTGACAAATATTGAATTATAAAATTTTTCTAGCAGAAGGAACTGAATCGGTACCCAGTTCTTTTTCCAGAAAAAGGAACTAAAACTCGAAACAGTTGGTTATTGTCCGGGTTGATTCCATCCTTACTCGAGTTCCATGCCCGAAATTCCCAGTATTAACATGATCGGACCTCAGACACCCCTACTTTCTTAGCAAATTGTATTTTTAGAATGAATATATTTTTCAAAACACTAGCTACAAAACAAATATTAATGGCATTGAACAAACATAATGAATGTTTGGTATGCTACATCAACAGTACCTGTCAAGATTAAGAAGACGTAACAAGTCAAAATTTCATGATAGGAGGACATGTTGCTAAGCTCTATATGATTATGTGATTGAGGGTACTCACAATGTCCTAAGAGCGTGTTTAGTACAAACTGCGGGATAATACATCATTAATGGTAATGATTCGGGGTGAAATGATGGGGGAGCATTCATATATAGAGTGCTGCGTAAAAGCATTGAAGCACATCCATTGAGCAAGCACAAGAACAGAAGTGTCCTTATCTCAATTGCCTTCTCTTAATCTTGCAAGGAAGGCTCCTCTTCTTCAGAGTTTTGGTGAAAACCAATGGCTCCCATTCCCTGAAAGGAATGTATATCAAATCAGTGTTTCTGAATTATGACTCATTTTTGGATGCCATCAAATAATTCAATAACACCACCTCTAAATTTTGACAATATTTTCATAGTTCATACCTGGGAAATGCAAGCATAGCTGGTCACGGTGATGTATAATGAAAATACCCATTATAGCAATTAAGGATTAGCAATTTCATAAATAAAATGACACTTATAAAATTTGAACTAGCAAACTTTAATTGCCCATAAGATTCAACAAGAATCAGCCTATCTAAAGCTTATTAATTTTAGAAGACAATATTACCAACACATAATGGATATATTACGCGCACGAGCAATTTATTATGCTATTGCACGTCATGCTTATTCCACAACAAAAACAGCATGAGATAAACAATATGATAAAGAATATTGTTATTTATCATTATAATGATGGAACATCGGTGATGTGGTAACTTAGGTAGAATAATGGAATATGACAATTCAATCCTCACCTCTCTCATGAAAATTGAACTGTTCTATCCCATTATTTTATCTAAGTTGCCACATCATTAGTGTTTCATCACTATAATGATAATTAGCATTACGGCACATGAAGAATTTATTATGCTACTCCACGTCATGCTTATTCCAGTACAAGTACAAAAACATAAAACTGACGTAGGACAATAATAGACTTTTTATTCTTTTAGTTTTTTTATTACTTTTTCTTTTAAAATTTAATTACTTATATTTGTTAAACTATTAAGATTTGAATATTATTTTGCTTGTACGAGAAAAAGGCTTTGTAATTTTTCAAATGATCAATTCATTACAATAAAACTAGTCCCTAAAAATTTTCAAGTTTGTTCAACTTTATTCTTATTTCAAGAACTCCAATTCCATTTTGTACCAAAATTGGTATCAGAGCAAGTTTTTGTCCTTGATTGATGGCCACTTATGGTGGTGTGACATGCATCTTCGCAACGATGATGCAACACTACAAAATTACCAACCTCTTTCTAGAATCTGAAACGAAGCATAGATAGGTTTGAAGATGCTGCTAACAAAAATTTGCAAATTTTGACTTCTATGAAGTGCTTCAACTAGCCCAGAACACAATACACATGGTTATAGATTTCCTTCAGGTCTAAGCTAGGTTCAGATTCTCACAATGTGATATAGAAATTTTGGAGGTTATTCTTCCTAATTCATTAATTTTATCCTTTTCAGCCACACTCGATGACGAATACTTTTAATTGGAGGAGATTGATGTACGACGATTCTATTACAAATAGGACATGAAATTATTTCTTGTGTAACAAGATTATATTTCTTGTTTAGATTAGGACTTTTTCCTACAAGGCTTTTGATTACTTTTTCTTTTATATTTTAATTACTCATCTTCCTTAATCCATTAGGATTAGGAGATAATTTCACATATATGAACAAATGCTTTGTAATTTTCTCATGGACTAATTCAGTTTTCGAGTTGGATCAACTTTGTTCTTGCTTCAAGAACTCCAATTCCATTTTCGCACCAAAAATGCCACGAGATAAACAAAATGATAAAACCACATAACAAACCTACTTACACTATTACAAAAAAGAGATCGAATTGTCCCAATAGTCCTAGGAAAGTTGTTTCATTTTGATGCTAGCGGAGAAGTCCAATTCATCACATAACGAGCAACAATAAGTTAATTATCTGAGACAGAGTTGACCGAGCACTAATTTCCAGACACCCCCTTGATCCCCCACGAATGATGAGACATGTCTATGAGATTCGGGAAGGGCCGGAACTAAATGAGTGGATGGCTAGAAGAGATCCCCCTTCTTCTAAGCTTTTGAGTTATGATGAGTTCAAGCTCCATTTTCTAATGTGTAGTCTGTCTAGGAGGGTCGAGGTTTAGGGTTTAGGGTTTCAATCGACAAAGTTTCTATTCCCTTTTTTTCTGACTTGGTGCCACATCAACTTATCTGTAGATATCCTTATCTATCATTTTTCTATACTAGTATGACTGCACATCTATCTTAAGATTCTGAACTTACAACTTTCACGTGCCACTACTTATTATTCATGAACCAATAACAGTTTCATAAAGAATGGTCCATAACTCTTTAGAATTTGTCTTTTAACTTCATAGGCCTCTTTTTAATCACAGAGAATCCCTTTTAAGTCCAACCCAATGTAATCTAGTGTATCACATCTTTATTGAACCGAACCTAAATACCTAAAAAAATCACTCCAATATGATTTCTAATTTCTATTTTTAACACCACCGTCATCTTTGTTCTTATTATGACTAAAATGAGATTCTATATGATCATGTTAATTCTAACTCATACATGATCTCATAAATTTACTTGTATCTGAAAAGCAAAGGGCAATTTAAGACACAGTATAAAAGAAGGGATTGTGGGTACCTGTGTTCGCATTGACAGCCTATCACGTAATACACGTATCGAACTCCCCAACTCCATGAGCTCCTTTGCTTCGTTGATCTTCGATTGCTCAACCAGCTTATTAATTACTTGTAGTATCCCTTTAACATAAATCCTGTTCTCATCAATAGACTTCTTGCACAACTCATGCGCGAAATCAATGTCACCTGTGTCACAAGCAAAGGGAATGAGCATCCTAAATGTGGCTAAATCCAGTGTACATTCATTGTCTATCATTTTCTTGTACCATCTTTTGACCTCTTTTGAATGCCCTTCATCTACAAACCCTTTAATTAACACATTGTAACTAACACCGTCAGGCTTCACCCCCCTATCCTCCATCCCCTCGACCACATCCACAGCCTCCATTACCCGCTTTTCCTTTACTAAGCCATGCAACTTTGCATTATAACTCCTAGCATCAGCACTCACATTTTTCTTTTCCATCAATCCCCATATCTTTTCTGCCTCGTCAAACCTACCACTCTTGTAAAAGGCATATAAAAGTGTGTTAAATGTTGCCGTAGTTGGATGTATGCCATTTTTATCAAGTTCATCCATCATAGAAACAGCTGTATCCAATGATCCTAGTTCACAAAAGGCCTTGATCACCGTGTTATAAGAGACTATATCCGGCTGGATTGCCAATTTCTCGGGGATTTCATGGAAAATCTTGACGGTTTTATCAAATTGTTTGGAGTGAACGCAGGCCGCGAGGAGAGCATTGAAGGAAAGGACAGTGCGCTGACAATTTAATTGGGGCATTTCCTCGAACAGGTCGAGCGCGTGGTCAAACATTTGGGACTTGCCGTAAAGCCAGAGGAGGCGGACTGTGAAGCGTTCATTGCTGATATCTTCGTACTGTTTTTGGTGGTTGAGGATGTCGTGGATCGAAGAGAGGCGGCCTGCAGCAGCGAGGCGGCGGACGGCGGGCTCGTAGTTCAGATGGCGGCGGCGAAAGCGGGGGGACTCTGAATTTTTCTTGATTTTTTTGACCAAAGATTCGAGTTGTTTTTCTTTGATGGCAGCGGCGGTGAGACGGGTGGGTTCAGATGCCGTTTGTTGTGAAGTGTTTATCGTGGTGGTGGCTCCGGCTACGGCGGCGGCGGCGGTTGCAGCAGGCTTGGAGGATTTGCGGAAAAGGCCACTGAGATGGCTGTAAATTGAAGATGACATTGGAAATTTGGACCAAAACTTTTGGGTAGGGGAGTTAAGGTTTTGTTAGGGTTTTAAGGGTATGAGAGGCCAAAATAGAGACTAGTAAGATTTTGCAAAAACATTTAGGTATCTTGTTATTCATTTGGATTTTAGACGACACTGGGTGCAAGTAACGTGCAATGCACATTTGCCTAGTTTATATTTAACAGTTTTGTTTAAGAATTAATTTGTTATTAATAAAGATGTAATTTTTTTGGTTAATTAAATAATTAATGATGTAATATTTATGTAATTGATAAATAATTAGATGTGTGATTTTGATGTTGCGATATAAGTTNTTAAAGTTAACAATTATTTTTAACCACACATTTAATTGAATTCAACCACACTTTCATCTTTTATCAAAATATACTAAAAATCTGATTTTAATATCTACCAAACAGGAGCTAAAATCAGTTTTTTAATAAATTTTGATAAAAGTTGATGAAATGTATAATTAAAAAGTAGTGAATTTCATAAAATATGTGATTAATATTAATTATTGATTTAGATTTAGATTAAAATATAGATTTTAATTTTGGTTGTAATCGTAGATAGTTCACATTTTGACAATTATCTATATAATTGAGACTCTTTTTCTAGATAGTGTCCAAATCGTAATTGCATTTCGTGCATAAACCTAATATCCATGGGATACTCTTAGAGAGCGGACAATCGTATGATTCAATGATGATTCCAGTTGTATTTCGTTGCTTTTGAGGAATGTTTTTTAACATGTTCAAACAGAGTTCATGAAATGTAGTGTAATTTTGAATGTTTCTATGAATGCATTGCATGCATGCAGATGTGCGTTGAGTCCATTGAAGGACACGTGGCACGTGCATAATGGTAATGATTGTCCTTTATGGCTTAGTGTGTAATTGTAGATAAAGTGAAATATTTGGGAAATTGATATAACCACTAACTGTGGGTCCCACAACCCATATAACATCATTTATGTGAAGCGCAGCTTGAACTCCAATGTGCATTACGTTTTCTATGTTGGAATTTACTGCATTCGTGGGATGTTTTTCATGATTGAGCAAATCCTGGGAGTTTAAATGATGCAAGAACCATTTGCATTGATTACCCATGTTATTCTTACATGCATCAATTTAGGAGTAATATTATTTAATATCGTTCACAGTCCTAATATTTTTCCATCAGTCGACGGAATAAAAGTTTCTTATCACTGACGTGGCAAATTAATCTTATTTATGGTTCTATCATATGATATGATCATAAATTTAGAGAACCATAAACTAAGATTCTTTTGTCACGTCAACAGTGAAAAATTTATCTTGTCTACTGAGAGTAATAGATCAATTCTAACACCGATTTATGTGACAGTATTCACGTCATTCAATTATAAGTTAAATTAAGTACAATAATTTGTAACTCATTTATTAGTACCTATAATGTGTCAATACCATTGATACTAGATGTCATTATTCATCTTTTTATACTAAGAAGTAATGTTATTTATTAGAGGGGTGATTAGCACAATATATATCATCATTGTTTTAACGAAAAATATTATTCTTAAGACTTAACACGGTTTGGTAAAGTCCAAATCTATTTTCCTCATTAAAATTGTCACCTTAGTACAATTTTGAAGTATATAAATTTAGATTCGACCTCAAAAATTGAGATTGAAGTTTAATGGGGCGTCATAATTATGTTGGGGGTACAGCCATTACAACAAAAATAACTTTTTACGGCATGAATGTCGTAAAAACAGACTATTTACAACATGTTTTAAATGTGTGCCGTAATAATTAATTATTGTAAACTATTTACGGAATACATTTTGGACAGGCCTTAAAATCTGAATACTTACAATTGCATCTCAAGATGCCATATACTCATAAAGAAAATATTTGTTGCCTTTTTATATATATATTTTTTAAAAAATGAACTATTAACGGCATTTTTTTACGGCGTGCATTTAAAAAGATGTATTTAAAAAATTCGCATTATATGCATATATTTGTACATTACCTTGGATAAGATAATATACATTTTAAGTTTTCACTTAAATAAGTTCAATATTATATTAAAATATTGCCATCAAATCTCACTACCATTTATAAAAATTATCCACGGAATTGAATTGTACGAAAGAGAGTTTTTATATTAAATTTTCTTTTCCATGATTCTATAATTTTTTTTTTCCACATTTAGGGTCGGGTTGAAGCCACGGAAACTACCTCTAGAGAAGTTAAGAAAGACAACATCAAAAGCTTATTCCAATGATGATATAGATCGCCTCTCTAGAGAATACTACACATTGTGAACATAATTTAACCCGTTTTGTGCATATTAAAATGAGAGAATGCATTTTTTTGAAGTGATGTGATGGGAAATATGTGGTTGAAAAAGAAGGAAAAGTTATTGATGTGATGAAAAATATTATTTTATTGAAAAACGTGTGATTGAAAATGAGTAGAAGAATGAAAATGAAAATTTTTAAGAGTAATGTTATTCATCTCCAGTTGGGATGAAAACACAATCTATGTGTCATTAAATGATAGGTTAATGAAAGGTAAAATTAAATGACTTATTTAATTTCACCTATCATTTAATGCCACATTAACGCTACATAAACTGTGTTTTCATCCCCAGTGGGTATGAGTAGCATTACTCAAATTTTAATGTGTACCAAACAGGGGCTTTATATAACTTATGGTTGGCCTCAATTTTTTCAAAAATTCATTTTTTGAACACTCATTTTCAACAACGTATTATATTATAAAATAATATTACGCGTAAATTGAAAAAAAAATTCCTTACTTTTTAACCACACAAATTCAAACAAAACACTATTCAAAAATGCATTTTTTACACAAAAATGAAGCTCAAACATGGGCATAATAAAAATATCAATTTTAACCTTAATTAATAAAACATATTCCTTGTATATCCTAATTTTATTGATATTTCAAAAATAATGCATTATTCAATCATTTAAAATTATTTGTGTAATTTTTGAAATTTAAAGATTTTTTTTTCTTTTCATAATAATATAGTGAATACGTTGTCTTGATTTTTTTTTTAAAAAAATATATTTGAAAATATTACATTTGTTAAAAAAGTAATTTACAATGCTCAAAATGACAATAATTTTAAAATGGACATAATTGCATACATTCACAACAATAAATCGCCTTTGTTGAAAAATACTACTGCAGTAATTTCAAAATAAAAAACAAATACCCCCTAAAGTGCTACATGCGGTAATTTCAAAATGAAAGTTTAACGAATACTTAACTAATTATTATCGAACATGATTGTTTTTTCAGCACAACAAAAGCTGATTCTCTTAAAGCTCAACAATACGAAACCAAGTCTCTAAAATTGACCAAGCACCCAATCATAGCATGTTTGTCCAATACTCTCCCCTGCAATATCTACCCATCCCTACGATATTTCCTTACCTATCCGGCGTAGAATTTCTCCACAAGTAGACTTTTAAAGAGTGGCAGCTCCCTTCTTGTAGCCCGTTGTTTACAATGAATTCTAAGTAATATTTAAAAAGGTCGCGAAATATTACGTTCAACCATGTTTAAAAGTGTCTTTTTATCTATTTTTTTCATCATTTAAGAGCAAGTATCATGAAAAGCACCTAATATAGCAGTTTTTAAACATAGTCGAATATATTAGAATTTTACATACCATAAAATAGTTAAAAAAGTTAGCAAGCACCTCCAATTCAAACATGCCCTTGAACAAACTTTTATTACATTTAGAGTCCGTTTGATTGCAAGAATGGAAAATGGGTGGAAAGAAAATGAATTTCAGAAAAAAATAATTGTCTAGAACTTGTTTTCCCGGAAATTGTCAATTAATTGTATTTAATTGCTATAATTTTCCACCTGAAAAATGTTGATATTTTGAAATTTTTGGTATTCGTTTGACTTTATTTTCATGAAAATTGTCCATTAAAAGGACAAAAATTTACAATTGGAGATAAAATTTGTTTCCATTGCCAACAGAAAAAAAAAGGTGGAAAACCATTTTTCCCACCGAAGTGATAGGAAAATGGATTCAATGAAAACATGGAAATAGGGGTCAAGTGGCGGGTTGGGGGGAAAACCATATGCCAAGAAAAAATTGGCTAGCAAACAACCAAAAAATTGGAACTTGGAAAATATGTAACATCAAACAGGCTTTATATTTTTTGTCACTTCAGAACATCAATGCCATTCAGCAATTAGATGAATAGGACCCAATCCCTTTGAAAGTACTACTCAAGATTGAAAATTTACAAACATTATAACCAATTCAAGCATCTACTAAATGGCACAAAGTCACGTAGAGAGAGAAATATGAAAAAGAATGGAGTCACAGTTCAGCCTCAACGGCTTCCAGAATTCCCACATCATTCTGTACTTTCTACTTTCTGAAATAGTAACCACCAAGATTTAGTGGAAATGGCTTTTTCCCCTGTCAAGAAAAAGCACTTTATTCATCTACTTATATACAAAGCCATTTTACTTGTCAAATTTGTGTTTTATGGCAAGTATCAGCACTCTCAACCGTGTTTAGCGCATATATTTGTACCATTTGTTGGATAGTTTGCATAGACCTAAAAAAGCATTAGTATGTCGCGAAGATAAGGGAGACGTAGACCAAAAAACTAACTAAGATCTAATTCCTTTAAATTTTAAAATACGTCTAACAATGAACCGAATGGAATAATGAAAAAGGATTCTAGTTCCCAACACCGAAAGATTCGTGTAAACATCGTGGCATTAACACTTGGGCAGTCATGGGTGCATTTAGTAGTTTTCTTGATTTCAATTATGAGAATTCTCAAATAATTTTCAATACCCCTGGTGGCATACCCACCCCTACCCCTACCCCCACCCCCTTTCTCTTTCTCTCTCATGCTGTAGATGAGTTTTCAACACCCAAGAACATTGTGATAATTGTGTATGTTGAATGGAAGCCTAACAAACTGCAACAAGAAGATTCCCACCTCTCTGTCTTTCTTCATGAAATGTCACTCTTGTGAAACACACTTATATAAGGGCATTGTCTCACATGAACAAAAATTAGTGCAGTGCCTAATTTCCCACCTGCACTCTCATTATCAATTAGCCACTTCCTCTTATTTCTCCCCCATTAATGATTCTTGATTGATCATCAAATATGGAATATGTAAAAACTGCATTTGACGATTTGTGCATACTTGATGAGGAAAAAACGAAGGGGGGCAGAATGGAGAAGAGGAAGCACATTGATTCGGATGATGAGGACGATAAATACAAGTCCAAGAACCTTGAAGCCGAGAGGAGGCGACGCAAGAAACTCAACGACAGGCTCTTAGAACTGCGTTCGTTAGTCCCAATAATCACAAATGCAATGATCCAAAACCTTAACAATTTTTCTATTTTTTAATTGATTGATCATACTAATTACCAGTACTTTTCATATTTACATGATGTTTTTTGTTTAGTATCTAAAACTTAATTTCTGGCCTTAATCTTAGATGAATAAAGCTACCATAATAACTGATGCTGTCACTTATATTGAGGAGCTACAGAGGCACGTAAAAGATCTTAGTGACCAACTACTCGAAATGGATGCAAATTGTGTGAATGAGAAAGAAACAACGAAAATTGAAGAGATTGATTCGGCAAAAGAGATGAAGACATGGGGGATAGAAGTACTGTGATTGTTACTTATGAACTATGAAGTCTCTCTACTATTTTTCTTTATTTTTATCCTTAATTTATAGATTTTTTTTATCACTGTCAACAGCCAGAAGTTCAGGTGACTTCCATTGATGGGACTAGACTATGGATAAAGATAGTCTACCAGAAAGTGAAAGGGGGATTTACCAAAATAATGGAGGCCATGAGTGTCCTAGGATTTGAACTTACTGATATCAGTGTTACCACCTCCAAAGGAGCAATTCTTGTTACTTCATGTGTGGAGGTATCATTTTTTTTTAGATCTACATCGTACAATCCTTGTTTATTTATCCAAATACACCAGATGTCTAACATCAGGACAGGATAATATTTGTTGTCTGCCGAAGTATTTAGAAGGACAAAAGGTTTATAAACTTCTTTTCCACTCTAAATTTCAGGGAACTCGAGGTGGGCTACCTGATGTTGATCAGATCAAAGAACTGTTGTCCGAGATCATCAAGAGCATTTGAAGTCGTTACAAATGATCCTACAAACTAATAAAGACGATTATAATGTGGTTCTTGCATTTACGCGGCGTTTCCTATTTAAGAACTTATAAGTAGTCATGGAACTCTTCAAGCTAGCGATCACGATTTACCTCTTGATGAAATATCCATTGTGAATCGAAAGAAAAGAAAATTGTTCTGGGAACAGTATGAGCATGTATACTTGCTTAAATCAATTTTGCACATGATAGCTTGCATGATCATTGCCGCTGACAGCAGAGTTATAACTAAACAACATTAAGTCCAACCTTGTCTTCCAACCTTAGTGTGCACTCTACAAACTCGACAAATTATATTTAAACATAGAGAAGGAAAAAATATATTATTTGGCCGGTCATAATTTTCGACAAGACTAGAAATCACCCTGAAAATAAAGTTTAAAGCATGTAAAGTAAGTTGTTCAACACCAATTGTATGTGTATACCATGGTCTTCCTTAGAGACTTCACGAAGAATGGATAACTTAAAAAGCTGATAAAAATTTAAATCAAAGTCAACAATTAACTTTAATCACACGTTTCATACGACCCACAACTTTTATTAACTATACAACACACATTTCATCAATTTTTATCAAATTCTATTAAAAATCTAATTTTTAGCTACATTAGCTGCAGTGCAGATCCAAATGCATTCCACATGGAAAGACTTGTTTTTCAAAGATTTGAATCTGAGAAACAAGACTGTTTCTCCAAGAATTCCAACTTCTGGAAAAGACTCAGTCTATTCTCTTCTAAATTAATACAACCCCAGACTAGCATTTAGTGAACTAAGTTCTTGTTCCCAACAGGACTCAATATTTCTTATGGTTAGATTTCTACTTCTTTATATTGTACTAGCCCAACTATACATTTCTATGAGGAAAAGCATTGCTTCAAGAATTTCTTACACCTTCGGGCCAATGCAAGTAGCAGTTTCGAGTCCAACACCTGCGCCATCACAAGACGGGGTTAACTGGATGTGACATAGACCTCCAGGGATCCAGCTCATAAGGAGGCATTATTCGTCTGTCGCTGGTGGAGAAGTGATTCTTGGTGGACTTGCCATTGTTTCATTGCAGCCATTTTCTGCTACATCGAATCACCAAGGAAGGAGAAAATCTCATGCCTGAGACGAGGTTTTCCAATATTTCCAGCCTACATTAGGATAAATTTGATAGACTCTACTATCTTATTTTGAGATTTTTGAGTCGTATGCAGAACTCCTTGAATGCTACTAACTTCACCTAAATTGCAATGCTTTACACTTTATTGTTGAAGAAATGAAATGATAAGTGCGATTTTTATAAAGCAAATAAGGTCTTTTCCTGAATGAACAGGAGTTGTAACTTCAAATCTTCTCATTTCATTCCAAACTTCTACAGTCAGTTTCCAGATTTTTACAATCCTACAAGCACTAGATGACAAAACCATTCCATCTTTGTTCTTGAAGTCTCACAAAAAAGGCAAATCCAAGAATGCCTTGAACAAAACAAGAGCAAATTAGAACTGATAAGGAGAATTGATTATTCTTTTATCTATCAAACTTCAAATTGGAACTCCTCCTTGCCAGATTCTTGACCATCAGCACATCTGCATTATAAAATCAATATGAACATCCAGAATGAACAATTGAAACATGTTTTCTTAGAACTGAAATTGATTAATTGAAGAAAGAGACGAAACCTTGAGGATTGCAAATAGGGGGTTCTTCGAAAAGAGAGAGAGACAACTGTTTATGGGCCAATCCAATGTCAAACAAAATAAGACCAGAGGAAGGATCATAAACAATTATATCCTTCACTGGTAACCATAAAAAAAGTTCTTCTTGAGACAGACCCTCCACTCCAATAAGTCCACCATAGCTTAGATTAGCCCTCACAACACTGTCAAAAAACACCCTGGTCTCAAACTTAGCCACACATGGTGACTCCAAGTACACTTGAAGTTGATCATTTTCATCAAGTTCATAGGATTTCACCCCATTCTTGGGGAAAAGCCCTGCAGGTAAGCCTCTGCTTCTAAGGAGTTCATGAATGGAACTTGAAGTGGAGGCCAAAGGATGGAGAAGGAGTACACACAAAACAAGTGTGTGTACTATCATGGTGCGTATGAAGAGAGCATGAGAAGTAGCCATGGTGGTGAAATAAGAAAGTTGCAAGAGATTTTAACAGGGTTTTTGGTGTGAAAGGTTGAGTGTACACGTTAATTAATTATGTCTATTCCCCAAATTAACCTTGTAAGCATAATTAAGAGGTGGGGTAAGGGTGGGGTGGCTTATTATTGAAGAATAAAAGGACCACAGGGGCCATAACAAACCTAATATGAGTTGTCTTTGTGGACAACTCAAGGAAACAGCTGCAGCATTGTCTTGCCAGAAGTGATTTACCTAATAACAAATGATTAGAGATGGATAAAAAATGTTAATGGAAGAAGGGGCATTATGGGTACTACTGTATTCAAGTGTTGCAAAAGCCATACATCTGGCTTAAGCCAAAAGGTTAGCTGTGCATGAAAAACATAAGATGGTATCAGAACTCAGAAGAATTACACAAGAGATGAAGAAGAAGAAGCTTCACATTTTCTTTTCTACATCCTAGGATGGAGATTACGAGGTTACACCTACCTTTTAACTTTCTTCTTCACTTATTGAAATTTTTAATTTGATAATTGCATATATTACCATATCTTCACATTGAATTATTGTATCAGAATAATCCATTATTTTAGCGTAAACTTGCATGCAATTATATTACAGGGGCAGAAGCAAGTTAAATAAAAAGGTTCCATAAACAGGCATAAATCAAGGACAAGGCGACAATGAAGAGGACAGTGAATAAATCAAAAAGCATTTAGCATTATATCATAAATTAAATTGGAGATATGATTCATAATTATATTCTATATAAACTACTTTCTTTCTCTTTAAGACTTTTTAGGCTTTCTATAATATTGTATTGTGTCTGTCCTAATATTTGACCTTCCTCTTCACTTCATTCTGCATTAAATCTTTTATTTTCTTTCTCATCAATTAAATTTGCTTTTTGGTCTCAATCAATAACTTTAATTTTATGGTGTCCCTACTTTAAGCATGTAGTAGAATCAGCTTATTAACTTGCAGCTTTACCCACAAGATGGAGTCTTCATTAGTTCAATCACGAGGGTAACGACAACAAACTAAACCTTATTCTGAATTTAAGAGTAGGTCACGTTAATCCTTAGCCATACGCCGTACAATTTGTCGTGCTCAAAAAGTCCAACATGATTAGATTCTTCACAACCATGACCAGTTAATCCTTATTATTTGAATTTGGGTCGTTTATGAGTTAATCACACACAAGCAAAACTAGAAAATGAAACAATGTGGAATTTATCTAGATGAAGAATGAAACAAAGAAATATATTGACATAATGAGTTGAATGAACTTATTGCAGTCATGAACTTTCATACTGAGGCTGCTGCTCATGATAATAAGCTCCATAATTATACAAATAATTCTGGTATCCTCCATCATTCCTCTCACCATAAGCTAATGGTGTTCCAAAGAGATAATCTGCGGCACTTTCCCACGGATTCATTCTTCCTCCATGATCACAAATTGGGCATTTTTCATTAATTTTCTGATCTCTTGTGGCCAGGCAAGGCCAGTAACCAAATAAACTTTACAAAGGTCCATACATTCCAAACCAGAACCATGTGAAATTTGAGGAATTTGTTTATCTATTTGCCCATTCTCAAATCCATTATCATGATTGTACGGAGGCAATGAATTGCCTCCTTTCGCGCCCAGCCCAACTCTTCAATTTCACTGCCCATGGTAATCTTATCTACATTTTCATCATGCGGTTGTGGATCAGTTAATTCTCCAACTTTTTTCACTGCCCACACCATCTAAGGCAATCTTATCTCCATTTTCACCCTGAGGTAGTGGAACAGTTTTGATTGCTATTTGTTTATCATTTTCTCCATAGGGTGAAGGAATTGAGCTATATGAGAAACCTTCCAGAGCTGCACCGTCAGATTGTGGCATCGAACGAGGATGACAGATTTCATCCGACGGACGAAGAGAACTGCCATAAGTTTTCGAAGGATCATAACCACCATTGTAAGGAGTTGGATCGTAATCATCAAATTCTTGAATTCTTCAGTAGAATTATAGACTTCGGATTTTGTCGCAGTAGAAAAATAAACTCTAGCACAAAGGAGGCGGCTCGTACTGGACAAGTTTAGGCTCACTGTAACTATAGAAGGAGACTATTGTTTCAAATCGAGATTCAAAACCAACGTAATAATTGGAAGAAGATGAAGAAGAATCATAATATTCAATCGGCTCATATTGGATCGTGTTTATTATAAACAGAGTAATTCACTTGCGCTGGAGTTATTGAAGAATCATAATGTTGGGATTGGGTGTGATTTAAAAAATAAAAATAAAATTGGATCGCATTTGCAATTATTCCTTTTAAATTTTGGTCATTTTTACTGTTCGTTTAAAGTCTTAACTAACGGAATTAAAAGGTAGGGGTCTTGGGCATTAAAAAGGTCATCGAGGAGGTATTCCGTCGAAATGAAAGAATATGAGACATTCCACGACGAAAGTAATGGTAAGGAGACTTTGCGTCGATAACCCTTATATAAATTAAAAATTTCCTCTTTATAATTCATAGAGAAAGAAAAAAAAAAAGTTATGCAGGTATCTTCCCCCACCCCCCAGAAAAAGCATAAAATTTATATCTCCCTGTTTAGGAGAGATTCTCAAAATTCTACAGTAAATCAATTCTCATTTTCAACCTCACATTTTTCAATAAAATATTATTTTCCATCACATCAATGATTTTTTTTTCTTTTTCAACCACACATTTCCTATCATATCACTATTCAAAATCAATTATTCTCCCAAAAATCCCTCCCAAACACTGAAACACGCACTTAGTAATAATTCATAACAATTTTTAAAATGCACAACAAAAATTAAACAATTTTCAACATCGAAGGTCGAATCACATTTGTATTTAGATATAATCTGTGATGTGAAGTATACATTCAACGATTTTCATAAGTTAAGACGATTTTAAATCTGATCTATCAGATTTAGCATACCATGGGGACAAGTTTTTAGATTTATAGCCTCTAAAAAAATTCACACGATGAGAACAAATTGAAACTCCAACACCACGAACAGTTCAAGACCTCCAGCTGGATTTAAAGAGAATTAAATTTAGAGTTTTCACATATTTCTCTCGTGCTAGCAAGAAATAATAATTAGTCTTAAACCCTAAACTTAGACTACGTATTTATTGGTTACTGCAAAGCCTAGTTCCATTAGAATCAGTGAGCAAATCACCAACGAGCCCATATACAATGGACCCAATTTATTCATTTCAACCCATAATGATTAAATCAGAACAACAATTGGGCCTATACGTTAGTTAAGTGGAAGTGAAAATTACACCCATCACTACATTTTAAAATAAAGTGAAAATTACTCACAACCCAACATCTATTAATCCACCAAGTATGCCCGTCCTATACGTTTGACAAACACCAAAATCCCCAAATCTTGTTATTTCTAACTCTGTAAATATCGAATCTTGCTCCACCAAAGAAATCTCAAGAACATCCTAAAGATTAATCTTTTAGGGTCTGTTTGATGGCTTTGATTTTCCATGGTTCCATTTTTTTGCTGTTTGAAGAAATTTTTTTCCATGGATGAGCCTCACGCGCCCTTTTTCTTTGGAATTGTGGAATTGATTTTCTTACCTTTTTAGTGGTAAAAGATTTTCCAGTTTTTTTTTTTTTTTTTGCAATGGGAACAAATTCTAGATACAATGGTAAAAAAAATTTTCACTTTTATTTACAACTTCCATTTTTTTTGTTTTATTTATTTTTTTTTTTTTTTTTTTTTTTTTTTGCAATTGGAAAAAAGTCTAAACACGATGGTAAAAAAAAAAATTCGCTTTTATTGACAATTTACATATAAAATAAAGCCAAACGAATGGTATTTGGTATGGTAAAAATTTTTTTTTTTTTTGTCAATGGGAACAAATTCGAGACCTAATGGTAGAAAAACGAAGTCAAACGGATACCAAACTTTCAACATTTTTCAAGTGGAAAATAATACCAATCAAACACAATTAATTATAATTCTCAGTAAAACAATTTCTGAACAAATCAATTCCCTACAAAACATTTTATTTCCACCAATTTTCCACCATTGCAATCAAACGGACCCTTACAGATTTACAACAAACACCATAACCCATAGTATCATTCAAAAATTCGATCTTCAAGATTTACAGTGATGTTGAGGCTTTCGCGTACGTACTGTCATGCCTAATGGTTAAGATAAATGCTGACAACCCTGCACCTGTTGAATTGGAATGGTTGAGCCTTTTGCTGTGAAGATTATTATTGACATTCCTCAAGGTGATAATGGGTATGGAATTCTGTAAAAAGGGTTTTGTCATCTCATTATACTTTTTCTCCCACATCGTATCGGATTTTTATTGATATTTATGAATGTGCTCATCGTATTTCACGTGCACTTTGAATGTATTTTGATATTCATTTTGAATTACGTAGACATACGTAGTGTCTAACATATATTTCAATTTGATGTTTCCATCACGACTACGTTCTATACGTAATAAAGTTTGTCTAGTACATGATAAATGGGAAAATTGATTTGATGGCTGAAAAATTCGATCCAATCAAATCTAGATCCCATAAATTTGATTGAAGAGTATGATAAGACTTCGATTTAGTTTTATGCAGCGTAAGGCGAGATAGGAAGTTGAAGGGTATAGTGATCGCGCATTTGAACAATTTACCTTATTCTGAACAATTAGTAGATGTTGGATTATCAAACTTCACATCTTTTGACAATGTTTCATTTTTGTACGTGAAAAAACATGATATGTTAATATCTCGTAATGCAATGAAATGTAGTATGCTTCTACTCCAACTTCTTAAAATGTGACGAATATTGTGTTTTCATATTACAATAATGTATTTTCCAATTACCCGGGAAGCAAATATGTTTTCATGTTATATCCACATGTAAATTTTTTTTTATCCATTTGGCAAGTCCCCAGAAACTCCAATGTTAACTGTATTGAAAATAATTGAAATGGCGAATGTCAATTGATTTTTACTACATCTAAAACCAATTATCATCCTGTTTGTGTCATTTGAGACAAATTTAATGGTAGAGTTGCAATCATCACACATGCTTAGGTTTTTAATAATGCAAATAGGTGACTTTGGTGGTGTTTTCATAAGAGCATATGCCGTAGCCAACTTCTCTCTGTGATAACTGAGGCTATATTCTTTATGTTCCTCCTCTTCATCATGCAATTCACAAACATGTGCTAAAAAATAACCCAGTGGTTTAATTTGCATATATTCATTACAAAAGCTTACATGAAACCTTGAAATGATTGTGATGGAGTTAGAAGAATATAAACCAATATGTCATTTCCTTCAGCAATACGACCATAAAAAAGAAAAAAAAGTGTACCATCCAAGCAATACACGTTATCCATGGACTATGTGTTTCATTATTTCGTATGTCTCGTGCGTGTGACACTCAATCTAATGACACATACTAACAATATGCAACAAACGATTATAAGATAAGTTATTGTGTGATATAACCATTCTTATACACCATATATTTCCGAATCATGTAAAAGTACATTTTCAATAAATACCCACCCACTATAAAGATGCCTAAAAGTTATTCGAACAATTCATAGTTGTATGATTTTGAACAATAAATCACACATACCCTTTCATTGAGATATAAGTCCACTGAATATGTAGTACTTAATTACCAAAAATATTTTAAATTAAAGAATCATATAGCGAGTGTAATCCATATTTTCCACAATTACCATTTGAACCAATTATTGAATTTAGTTCCACACTTACATTTTCTTACATGACACATTGGCAAAGGCTGCTTACATGTTCTTTTATTATGATTCTTACCTCCACAACGTCTACACCTTGTTGGGTTGATTCACTCTAGTCTTGTACACCTCCTACTATTCTTTGGTCTATCGACCTATCTCCTAGATTTAGAGGGGAGTATATGATCACGACTCACATTATTGATGCCTATCTAATGTTTGTGATCCCCAAACAGAGCGTTGTCACAATTATATGTGTTAATGTACGAGTCCTTTGTGTGCTAGCTTGGAGCAATAATTGTATGGTTGATTGCCAAAGCATGAAGACATGAAACTTAATCGGTTATACATGCACATCATACAAGCTAGATCTACAATACGTTTTGTCCTATCATGTTAAACTTTAATTCATTCGTTATCATCTCAACTAGGTCTACGTATTTGAAAGAATATGGAACTAGAAGACAAACGTATGTGAACAGTTCTCGACAAATACATTCAACTTTTCCATCTGTCTGGAAAAAAAACCATAATCACAATCAAAGTTTTCAGAGTATTATGTTATATCATTTCTTCATTGAACCCCCATAATAATATTTTCCAATGATACATATCAAATATTCACATACATAGTAAATAAAAAACTGGACCAATTCATATGGAATCATAAATTTAAAACATAGCTGTAATATGTACCTTACGCCTTGTTTGATTGATGATTCACGTTGTCAAGATCACATAATTGTGCAAACTAAATTAAATTAATGTAATTATTTTAGATTTGATTTTATATTGATTGAAGAAAAATACATTACACAAATGGATAAAAAAATAATTTTTTCAAGAAATCAATAGATTATGAAGATTGAATCAAAAATTTTCAAATTTCAGCAACAAGATTCATAGCCTGTTTGAGCCCCATTTTATTGTAAGAATACATTTTGGAATTAGATTAATGGAGAATGAGTGGTTAAAAAATAAAGAAAAATTGTATGTAAGGTTATTTTATTGAAGAAATTGTGTTTGAAAAGAAGAGAGAGAAAAATGTATTTTAAAAATAATGGAAGTTAAATACGGACTCATTATACATATGAACTAATATAATCAATTTCAATCCATAAAAGATTCGTATTTTTTTTTTCAATTTCAAGAGATGAGAAATCCCACAAATTTTGAAAATTGAATAAAAAGATTACTCACCATCACTATCAAAACATGAAATTTGCTTGAGAGATGTAGAGGATGAGAGAACTATGCGTTCAGCTTCTAGTCCAATGACAAATTGTATGATACAATCTTCAATTTGAAATTCCTCTAATGGAGAAGAGACATTAATTGCTATCGTAACGTATGCTTTTTTTCCTTTTAAATTTTCAATTACGAGAATTGAACTCGAGTCTTAGTTTAGAAGGTAGTATGCCTATATTTGGCCTCCATTTTTCAAAAATTCATTTTTTCAAAACTTATTTTCAATCACATTCTTCTATAAAATAATATTGCACGTAAATAAAAAAAATTTCCTTACTTTTTAACAATACAATCTTCAACAAAACACTGTTCAAAAATGTATTGTTTGTCCAAAAATATGGCTCAAACAAGGGCTTAATTATATTTTACATAAAAGACAATACTTTAAATATATGTTACATATTATAGTATTTTGTGAAATCTTATATTGTAATAAGGCTAATATGAATACTCAATTAATTACAGATATTGATAGGAGTCAATCTTGATTCAATTAATCATATTGTAAGTTTTAGGTGCTGAATTCTTGAGCCTGTGTAAAGATAAGTGAGCCCAGCCCATTAACTAACCCATTTACCCTGTCCGGCCCAGCTAATGGAATACTCCAGAACTTATGTGTTTTGATTTATCAAAACACGCTCTTGATTGATGGTTGACACTTGGACTATCGCTGACCGTTGGCTTGAGACTATTGGCTATTTCATATAAATAGCAAGGCCGACTCTTGAGATGATCGATCAGTTCACTCTTCTGAAACCCTAGTCTTCGTGTTACTCTCGACTGTGTTCTGGCATTTTCTTTGATCTGTAAATATTGTGAGATTCTTTGAGTGATTCTCATATAATAGATAGAGCGAGTGTTGGAGGATCTCTTAGTGAGATTATTCTGTAAATTTTGAGGGTTTTCAGTTTGTAATCTTGAGTTCGAACATTCTTGTTGTTCTGTAACTCTACTTGCCTGTTTAAGGGTTGTTTCTAGTGGATTCGAGCTATATCCTAACGGATGCTCAACGTGGGATTAGGCGTTAGAAGTGGTCGCCGAACCTCCGGGGCCTTGGACAAAAAATTCCTCGTGTTATCTTTACTTTTCTGCATTTACTTTGTGTATTTTTGGTATTTCTTTGTTGAGTCACAATTTAATCCTATTATCTAGGACCAACAGTGGTATCAGAGCCTTTACTTACATTTTCTTCTCACACGATTTTACTTTTGACTTTTCTAGTTCTGAAAAGTTTAGATCTAATACTTTTATGTTGTTTTACAGTGATAAAGATCCTTCGATTGGAATCTTGTGTCATACTCTGGTAACTTTTGATTACTAAGATGATTCTTGCAACTCTAATAACCCTATTCTTAAAACATTTTTTGGTTTATTTAGATTTGTATTACCAACTTAGGGATTTATATATTCAACTGTATTCTCTAGTTGACCAACATGTTGAAGTGAGTGCCATGTGTTTGTTTTAAAAAAAAATTAAAAAAATCGAGTGGTGCTAGAACTGAAAGTTTTGAAAAATGTGCTATTTTTGTCAATTTCAGTAAATTATGCTTAAGATTGAATTTTTCATATTACTGGTGCTATTTTTGACATTTGAGCTTTCGCTCGAATGTCGCTCGAGAGAGCTTTTCAGAAAAGTCTCGCTCGAGCGAAGTTCGCGTATAAGGCGCGAATGTAGCCTCATTTTTACTCATTTATTTCGAATTTTTCCCTCAAATTTCATACACCCTTCATCAAATTATTTCAATTTTACTTGTTTCAAAGCTTGGGCATTACATTTGGAGGTCATTAACATCAATATCCTCGTCCATTTCTATAAATTTCTAAGGTAATTCTTAAAACCCTAGTTTTCGACATTTTGGGGGGTTTTCTGATTTTCTTGGATAATTGCCTTCATTCTTCACACACATTCATGTGTTTTGAGTATTTGAATGTGGTGGGATTGTGTGTGCATCAATGTGCTTCAACTTTTACATATTTTTGATGATTTTGGCCATTACTTGAGTGTACTTCATTGCACCTGCTATATTTGGCTTATTTTGGTCGATTTTGATGGAATTTGGGATAGGATTAGTTGATGGTTAACTTGTTTATGCATGATGAATCATGGGTTGGCCATGGGTGTGTTGGATTGTGCTTGGAAAGTCATGATTTTACATTGCCATCAACGTGTTTGATGAAATGTTTCTTTGATTTGTTCGTGTGTTTTTTGCTATCATTTTGCCCACACGAGTCATATACCATCCTATGAACATATCTATACACTTACATGTCGTTTTGGAGTCGATATGGATTAAGTTTTGACTTAGTGACATGTTTGCATTATTTTATGC